GGCCTGATTCCCTGGTTGTTCTGCATGTGTCACACGATGACACTCAAGAGGATCTGCTCCGTAACCTTTTCCAGTACCAAAGTCAGATTGACAGGCCTGTAGCTCCCCAAACCCTCCTTCCAGTTGACTTGACTGGAGGTTAGAGAGTTGACTCACCTTTAGCTGGGACTGCTAATGGTGGGGAGTGCCTTGTGAGCCCTTCACCAGCTCCCTCAGTACCCTTGGGTGGAGCCCAATCAGCCTCATTAACCTGTGTGTGTCTGAGTGATGAGGAAGGTCACCGACCATCCACCCTCGGACCTTGGGGGCTTCATTCTGCTCCCTGCTCCCGTCTTCCACCTCAGAGGGCTGGGTGCCCTGAGAACAACTGGTCTTGCTGCTAAAGCCTGAGGCAAAGAAGGCATTAAGTACCTGAAGTCTTTTCTTCATCCTTTGTCACAATGTTTCTGCCCACATCCACTTAAGGGTCAAGGAATTCCTTAGCCTTCCTTATCTTACTGACAAATTTATAGGAATATAAACCAGATTAAGTTTTATTTGGGTTTCACCCTTTTAATTTTCTCCTTGTATAACCTCACAACATCCCAGAGTTCCTCCTAAGCTGCCTGCCCCTTATTGTCATAAACTCATGTATTTTTTCCACTTAGCTCCATCCAGAGCTCTCTGTCAGCCATTCATCAAGAGATGTGACCATGTCCCAGGCCCTGACTCTCCCCACCTAACCTTGGCCACTCCAGGCTCTGCAGTCAGCAGAGAAAGACCTGTACCCTCTGCAATCCTGCCTCCATCAGCTGCAGAAATTACCTCAGGTGGCCATGGGTCTCAGTTACTGCTTTCATTTCAGTATCTCCACTTAGCTGAGATGAATACCACTTTGGAAAATGGGTAAAGTTTTAAAGCTTTCTTCTTTAAAACCAGCCAACAGCCACTGTAAGAATTTCTTTAGGAAACTTATCTGAGGAGTTACTCCCCCTCTTCTTTGCACCTCACTGCTGGAATATTTTGAATAATCTGTGCTCAAATTGGATGTAAAAAAAGGAAGATTACTAGTCCAGGTTCAGCATAAAGGTTGAGAGAAAGACTTCCACTTTATCCTGCATTTAAATGTACACTTATGTCTAATTCTGAGCTAAACTGGAATAGGGTGGGAACTGGCTGGGAAAGAATAAACTGGGCTGCTGAGAACACCAATGAATAGTCTGCGCCACTATGGAGAGGATGGCTTTTGGCCAGCACAACAGCTTTTGTAGTACACCCTCAACTTCATGAAATCACAAGCAAAACTCTGGGAAAACAGTCTTCAGCAGTTAACAGGAGTGAGCCAGGGCTCAAGGAAGCTCATAGCACTTTGAAAAAATTCTGAAATTGCAGTTTAGGGATGAGAGGATGTGGTGGGGTTGCTGAGATGAGCACAGAAGGCCAGAGTGGGTGTTCTATGAAGACAATATAAACCCAGATGTATTAGACTGTCTAGTAAAAAATGAGAACAGGAAATTCAGCATTTGCACAGCTAGAGGCAATAATCCAATTCACAGGGAAGTAAGAAGCTGATGGTGACCTTGCCAAAAATCCAGCTTTCCAAAAATAGTACCGATGAGTAGTAAAAAATAAGGACCTAATCAGCAACATTAAGGAGAGAGACAGAAAGTTTGTCTTTCTGCAAAAGGTAAATTATGCACTATAAGAATGACATTCATCCATTTCAAGCCAGAATAGCTACCAATTTCCAGGGACTTGTAAATCAGTGAGCAGACAAGAAAAATGTATTAAACTTATTTAATTTTTTCCTAAGCCTGCCTGTTATTATAATTAATAAGCTTTTTCCTATAAATGCTTGCTGTTGCACTTTTCTTCCATTTGTACATGAAATAGTGTGCAAAAGCTTTCAGTCTAGCCATTCTCAGCAGCACACACACTAGAGATGGAGACCTATAGGATGGCCCCCACTGGTAAATGGCACTGGCTGGGGGCGTGGAACAATGCAGAAAATGTGCAGTGTTTAGGAATCTCCCCATGCAGTCCCGTGGCACTCTGCAGGCCACTCAGTCTGATCTCACCATCTGTGCCCTTAGCGTTAACAGATAAAGAAATTCTCCTGATCATCTGCCTTTCCAACACCACCCAGAAATGATCCTCCACTATTGTCACCAACTTGCTCTGGTTTGTAAATAAGCAGTCTGGAGATTTGGTACGTCCTGGGATTATGAGAGTCCTAGGGTGACTTTATGGTGCTGGTATCCCCAACTGTTTGTTCTGTTTATGCTGGATATTAAGTTCTGTACCTTTAAGACTGGTTCTGAGAGCGAAGAGGGGAGAGAAGAAGTGCAGAGTTTGTATCAGGGACTGCACTTGCTCCCCCACATCATGCTCCTCGACTGTGCTGTCTGCAGCACGGACATACAGGGGAAGAAAGCTCTCCTTTGCTGTTTTGTTGGGGTTTTTTTAGGTAGCTGAGGCAGAGAAGTTCCCGGACTGTGGCTTTTTTCCTTTTTGTTGGAATTGTTTAAACCTGCTCTGGACCAAAAACCCAGAAGAACACTGGGAGCCCACATCTGTGGCCACCCAGGGCCTGGGACGCAGTGTTTTCCAGCACTGGAGGGGCTGATGAGAGACTGAGCGAGCAGAACTACACCCCGTGACAAGGACTCTCTGAATTTGCCATCTCTTCAGAGCAGTGAGAGGTTCCATTGTTTAATACTGTTCATTTTTTCCATGTTTGTGAGTGCTTTGCTTGTTAAATAAACAGTTTTTTCCACTTCTCTCAAAGGAGATTTATGTCTGCTGAACTGGTGGAGGGCAGGGCTGCTTGAATTTGCTTTCTAGAGGAACCCCTTTGAAGGTTTCCTTCCATATTTGCCCTAAACCAGGACAGAAAATTTGAACAGCACAGAGTCCTCTGCAAGGTTACATGCTGGGCAATCTTTTATGGACATTGTCATCTCACTTGACAGACTTGAGAAAACTTGAAGGAATGATAAATTCAAGTTCTTTGTGAGAGATGCCAAAAAATATTTATCAGGTGTAGACTTTTTCGCAACTAGGAAGATGAAAGATCCAAAGAAGTGATCAAAGTGCAAAGGACTCACAAAACCTAATTCCTTCCAGAAACATCATTAGCATTCAGGAGAAGTATTGTGCTTCCCTCAGGATCCTACATGCGTGCATGATATTTAAGCTCTGCCCAAACTCAATTTTATTCACAAAGTAATAATTTTTCCACACAATAGAGAGATCTGAATCAGCTGCTTAATGAAGGCATCTCACAGAAAGCAAAGCCAGGGACTGGGACACACTCCCGAGCCTGTGCCACTTCACTACTTGATGAAGTATCTCCTCTGCCTGGAACTGCCAAGTTTCTCACTCAGAGAGCTCCAAACCAAATGCCTAAGTTGGAGTTAATTGTCCTCAAAGTAATTATAGAGGCAACAGAGAGAAACAAGGGACTCCAGCTGGTGACACAGCCTATTTTTAGGCTAATACAAGTGAGATTAATAGGATTGAGATTAATCACAGCCTGAACATGCCCATTCCTTCCTGCAAGATAGAAAGCCCAGGGAAACTAGCTGAGATCTGGATGTCCTGTCCTGGATGGACACCTGACATTAGATGAGATGACTCCTCCCAAACACCTGGTGGAAAGGTGCACTCCCAAGTGTCTTTCTTGCCCATCTATAGGGATATGGCAGGAGTCAGTATTCAGATTCTCACTACTGGCAAAAAAGCAGTTTATTTCTTGTAACAGAACACAAACAAGTTTGTTAAGTATGAACACATGGTCAGAGTTTTTTCTTCTGCTACCCTCCTCTGAGCCTCTGCATTAGGGTCTTCATAGTCCTGTTTCTCCTTCTTACTAAACATTATGTTCAAACCCGGTGAGGGAGATGGCACTGAGAAAAGCAGCGTATCAGAAGGCACAGAACATGATCATGTTTCCCAGCACAGTGCTAAAGTATTAATCTGTTAATAACTGTGACCCAGTCATTAAGCAGGAGCAACTTGTTGTCTGCACATCCACCTCTTAATGAACATTGTTCCTCTTCTTCTCGCCTGATTTTTACAGATGCAGCCCTACCCACACCAGCAAGAGACAGCCATTTAACTTCATGCACGAGATTTGCCTCAGCATCCCAAAGCCTGAACAGCAGAAGAAAATACCTGTTGTTTAAAGCCTCTGAAATAAAGTCATCACTTGCACTTGACATGGTGTTTTCTGAGTGAAATACAAGGTGAAAGATAGTTCATGCTTTAGGTAATTCTGTGGCAAATCACTTAGAGACTTTTAAACTAGAGTGTCAGCCTGCTTTTGGGGTCCTGTTGCAACAGATAAACCTCACTGTAACCTCTCCTTTGCTTTACAGTAATGCTCCACAATTGCTCTGCAGAAGTCTCCCTGCATCTGTCTTGTCAGATTACTTAAAGGTTCCCATATTGTGCCTGAAAGATTGTGACAAAGTGCACTGCATCCGGATTGTCCGAGACAGAGGAAATGCATTTCCAGCCACTCTGGCCACACAATTGAGATTAGACCAGAACTTCAAACCTGAGCAGATCAAAAGGTTCTCCTCTTCTGTGTCAGCAGATCACTGGAGACTGGCTTGTCCATTGTAGTGTGAGTAGATGTCCTTCTAAATACTGGCTTAAGCCATGGAACAGCCATCAAAATGCTGCTTTTGGCAACCTGCGCCTTGCTCTGGGGCAGGTAAAAGCCTGCTTTATCTGACTATTCAAGAAATCAAGAGGGACCTCACTGCTCTGTGCAGAAGAAGTTCTGCTGCCTGCCCCATTCTCTCCTGTGGTCCCCACCATGATGTCTGGGAGGAGACATCCTCCTTTATTAATCAATGCTTTTTTAGCAGAGACTATGAGTATGTCCTTGGACTACAAGCTGGCACACTGTAATCAGAGTTGAGATCCTCAGGCAATAACCTTCTGAAAATCTAGGCCTTATTATCAGAAACTTTGAAAAAAAAAATGCTAAAAAACATGATTCCTGACACCAGGCAAATTCATGACAGTCACCTACACCATATAACCAGAAGGAAAAATATATCGAAGTAGTGCAAGAAAGTTTCAGAAAGACACAATGTTCCCCAGATATCTTCAGGGTCTATTGGGATTTTATTAGGTTTCCTGAAAAAAAAAAAAAAGAAAAAACTTTCTGGGAAATGAACTAGCAGTTTTTGACCCCAAGCTTCACATGCTTCACATGTCTCCAAGCTGATGCTCAGTTGTCAGCTTCTGCCCTGCTTCTTCATACACTGGGGAAGTGATGGCAAGGATCTCCTTTTCCAGCAGATCCATTTGAGCTGTAATGTCTGACACAGTGTTTTTCACAGCATTCAGCTGCAGCTTCAGTTTATTGTAATCTTCTTGGAAGGATCTCTTCACATCATAGAGATTGTGACAGCACTGTTTCTCCTTAGGAGGAGGGTTCATTTTCAGGAAGGTGTGGAGAAGCTCACACAAATCCTGGAGAACCTGGAGGATTTCATGCTCTCCTGGCATTCGTGGGGCAGACTCGATCTTATTCTGAGTTGGAATAGTGCTCTTCCTTTTACTTTCATGTTTCTGCTGGGGCACTGGGCCAGGGTTACCCTTTTCCACAGCTGCAATGGCATCAGTGTTCTTCTGAAGATCTGAGTGGGCATCTTGGCTCTCTTCATGGACAGTGATGGCTTTTTGGCCTTTCCAGTTAACAGGGAGTGCTTTATTCTCCTGTTGGAAATCCTCAAAGATTTTATTCTTTCCCTGGACTGCCTGGAGAGCTTTGTTGCCCAAGCTGAGCTGAACACCTGTGCTCTTCTCTTGGAAGAGTGGAAATGGCTTATTTTTGCTCTTGAGGCTTTGCTGAATAGCATCAGTGTAAATTACCTGGGAAGATTTGTTCTGTGACTGGAGATACTGTAGGGCCTTGTTTTCTTCCCAGAGCATCCTGTTTTTGATCCAGAGGACTTGGTTTTCCTGCCAGAGTGCTCTGTTCTCCTCCCAGATGCTCCACTCATTCTGTGCCTTCTTGCTAAAGAGTTTCTGGTGGGAAGAAAAGGGTGGCTGGCAGTAGATGTCATTCACCCATTTTCCATCAATAAACACAAACATCTCACCCCTTGGCTTCACCTGAGGGGTGATGCAGTCTGTCTCAGGCTCTGTGTGCTGCATGCTCTGGCTCCTCTGATCAAAGGCAGATATTGCCCTTCTTTAGCAAACTGAGGAGGACTGTGGAAAAAGGCTTTTTCCAGGGCTTCTATAAGAGGCCACTGACCACTGTCAAGGAGCAGGTGACACAGTGGGGCTGCAGAAGCTTGATTAGGACTGAAAGAACAGGGAACACAAATGTGCAGATTTACTGCCAAAATTCCAAATCAGAATTAAACTACACAAGTGACAGAATAAGTGAATAAATCAGTTCTCACAGTTAACCATGTTGCCCCTTTGATGCTGAAAGGTAAGGAATCCATCAGATACCTAGCTGATAGAAGCTGAGAAAAATGGCATTGGTAGATAAAGCAGCACAATGGCAGTACTAAAGTCTTTCTTATTAAAGCATGCACTTCCCCTTTATCTCTCTACCTCATTTTTACAGACCTGTAAGGGAGCAAAATGCAAGACTATTTTCTGCCTCAGAATAGCCTGCTCCCAAATGACTGATGCACAAACACATTAAAAATTGTTATGAGGCTCAAAAAACCTTTTTAAAATAAAGCATTTTTAAAGGTTCATAGAAAAAATCTGGCCTTGAGAGTTTTTTATTGCTAATGCTGAGTAGCCTGTGCTAACAGGATGCCACAAAAATGCAGAGACAGTTTTGCTTTTTGATCTTAAACTCCACAATATGCACAAACCAAAGCTTTGGGACATCAGAGATTTGTTGTTCTTTGCTTGGTTTTTTACAAGCTCCCTTCACCATGGTCCAAAAACTGTCACAACCCATAGATAATTCTCCACCTTTCATTCTCATTTCTCCTGTCACTCTTACTCTTTATATCCTTTGATAGCTCTGTTATTTTTCTTGCTTTCTAGCCCTGCAATGGTGATTGCTTATCTTTTTCCTACAGTCCATCTGCCTCTTTTTCACATCATCAGAAAACTCATCTCTAAAATCCATACTGTAGGGCCAAACCTCTAATGCTTCTCATTTCAGACACAGAAACCTCAGACTTAACTGTTGAATACTCTCCCCTCCTTTCCTCTACCCAAAATATTGCATTTTAAATTACCTTTTAACCATGAGTGAACTGGGGCAAATTAAGGATTTCAGTCTTTTATGTGGGGGAAAAAAAAACCAACAACCAACCAGACAATCAAAAATTATTGTTTTATGCTAAAGAAAAGCTTGTTTTCTGCACCTAAATAAAAAAATATTAAATTTATGTGATTTTCATGACGAAGTTATTTGATCTGAGGTTGAACTATTCTTTATAACCAAATTGCTGGAACTTTCAGGGTTTCTGCACAGAGTTTCTAATAGCACAAATGTGCCTTTTTCTAGGTGAAAAAAAAAATAAAGTTACTTGTCAGATTTCACTCAGGTGTATTCCTCTCCTGCTGAGGTCTCACAGCTTCCTTGCTGTCCCTTGGAAAGCCCAGTTCTGCCTTTCTTCCTGTGAGGAAAGTTTTGCCTTCATGAATCTTGCCCTCAAATTTCTACCAGCAGAGGGTGACCACCACACATGAGCCCCTTATAGCCTCCAGTTCTGTCATCCCAGTGTGCACCTCCTGTCCTATTGTTGCCCTTTCCTGTTGCTCTCCCTTTTCCCTGTCATTTCATCAAACAGCACTGCATGTCCAGGCTCCTCCAAGTTACTTGTTAGAGCCAACATCCAGAGATGCATCCTGTACCCCCTTCCCAAATTTGTCCAACCACTTATAAAATTACTGCTTCATTTAAAATCCAAAATTCCTTCATTTAGGAGAGGGCTATTGCAATATAGCAATATAGGTCTGTTTGCATTTACGTTTGATTTTATTGCAACCTGTTTACTGTCTGAATTTCAGGGCTGTCTTCCATATCATCTGCTGCTTTATCTCATGTCAGACTTGTGTTTTCATAACATCATTCTTCTGCTAAAAAAGGTATTTCCCAAAAACTGTGTTTTGGACTTTTTTTTCCCACTTACACTATGTCCAGAGCCATGCATTGCTCCCACCCTTACACGCTTCCCCTGCAGCCTTTCCAACACATGCCATTCCACTGAGGTGCCCAGTCCCATTTTTTCCCCCAAAAGCCCTAAAAAATTTGGGCTTGGTGAGGGGTGAAGGGGCAGAGGGCAAATCAGCCACAGAGGGAACAGACCTCTAATTAACCAGGGAAGATGCAGAACACATCCAGCATCAGAAGCCTGGACCCACATGCCTATCATGGACAAACAGCTACAGTTCTTAAAGTCACTTACAGAGAAAGTGTTTAGATTGCACATTTTCAGGATAAACAGAAATGTATAATATATACGACATTATCTGGGGGACAATTAAATTGACAGTGGCTCTGTCAGCTCTTTTGCACTGCCAGGGAGACATCGACCCAAGCTTTAGGGACCCTTCAAGATCTCAGTGCCTCCCATATATATTTTTTCCCCCCATCTCTGAATAATCCCAGGAAATGCTGGGCAGCTGGGCGGATGAGCAAGGCAGCCAGCTGCGGGGCAGCCCCGCCACGCCAAGGCAGGCTGGGCATTTGGGAGCAGGGCACTAGGAGCCGCACACGCTCACCTGTGGGCGCGGCGCTCCCTCTCCGCGGGGCCGAGCGCCGCAGCCGCGCTGAGCTCCCGCTGCTGCCGGCGTGTCCAGCGCCTCCCCGGCCGGGCACCGGGCACTGATGGGAGCGACCTGCCCCAGGAGCCTCCAGGGGATGGGAGCTCCTGCACGCCCTCCTTGCACAGCTCACTTCACGCTGTTCTCACAAGACTGGCTTGGGCTTCTCCCAGCGTTGCTCTTCTGGGCTGCTTCTCATGGAAACGACCTTTCTGCTAGCTCGGCTCCCATGCCCTTTCCTGAACCCAGACTTCCCGATCTCCCTTTGATGCTCGTAACTGAGAACAGTTTGGACGGATTCTTTCTCCATCACACCCTCTTAAAACAAATTTTGCTTTTATTCTGAAACTTCAAATTCTGTTTGTTGCTGAACTGATATAGATACATTCAAAAATCTCGTCCTTGCATGTGCTGTGGGATTTGAAGTTATTTTCCAAGGACAACATGAAGTTTTTCTTTGACTATAAGTTTAAGAGCAGATTATAGCTGAATCCAAGTAAGAAGAAAATAGAATATAGAAGACATTCGCACATGCAGGTTTAGATATTATTTGTAGCAGCCATTTCCACTTCCACATCTTTACATTTCTAATGAAGTCTTTCTTATTTGCTACATCTTCCAGAAATGGATTTTTTTTTTTTTTTTTTTTTTTTTTTTTTTTTTTTTTTTTTTTTTTTTTTTTTTTTTTTTTTTTTTTTTTTTTTTTTTTTTTTTTTTTTGTAATCAGGATTCTTGAATAATAAATACAGCATTTAAATTCTCTTTCAGTGAAAATTACTAAGTTGACATCACCCTCAAGGAGACTGCTGCTGCTTTAGGAACTTGAAGGTATAGTTCAGCTTTGGTGTTATATGAAAATTATAAACTCAGGTATAAAATTCTTCTCTGTAATTGCTCCCTTGCTTATATTTAATCTTAGACAACAAAACCACATCACAGGTTACTATGGCAACTCCCCAGGGAGTATCCTTCTTTATTTGAGCTCCAGGATCCCGCACAGGAAAACAGATAATGTCCTCAGAAGAGAAAATATTTTATATGGGCTATTTGTGCTTGGCCTGCCATCATATGGGAATTTAAGAGTTCTACCCAGTGCAGACACTTTTCAGGAGGAGATTGGATGAAATATCCAATTTGAATTTCTGAAGAACTGTGGCTGTGGACTGTGAAAGTGACCTTTGATGAACATTTTAAGGTCCAAGAGCTGACTAGAAACAGAATTAATAGAAAGAAGTGCAGCTGCTTAATCCAGAACCATGGAGAACTAACTTGATATTGAGCGTACCTTTGCTTTTCTCATGCAGTATTTTCCTTAAAGTTTTGTAAAGTTCCTCTGCCAAGTTAATTTTTTACTGAAAATTATGAATTCAAATGCCAATACATTTGGATCAAATTTAGTGAATATCATCAGATGTGTTTATGCACACATCAGAATTGGAAATGCTGCAACAGCTCACAGCAGAATTTTTTATAGCAGCTACACTGATTTCTGAGTTAGGCTCTCAAAAGGACTGAGATGTCATTCACAAGATTACAAAGACAGAAATAATGCTGAGTGTGTTCCACTTCCTGCCAAGAGAAAAGTAACCCCTGCTCTGTGAGAAGGGTTTGAGCTAACCTGCCAGCAGAGTGTTTTGTCCACAGCTTCAGACCACTAAATTTCTCAAAGATGTTTCACTACACAAAGAATTAAATATTATTTGGAACCAAAGCCTTTTTTCTCCATCCTACCTGCACACCTTATACCAGGCTGCTCAGCTGACCTTTGCTGTCCTTCTTGGAGACTGTCTGGTTCTAGAAAGGATTCAGTGGGAAGGATGTGTGATCCCAAACACACTCATATAATATTCTCCATGCTCCGTGCTGGGGTACTAGAGGTCACCATCCAGTGATGGGTTAAAAGCCAGGGGGAAGAGCAAGGTATGAACTGCTGCCATGAAGATTTTGCAAGAAGGGCCCTGAAAACCCCATACCAGTCTCCTTTTTATTAGATAGAGGCATATACCAGCAGTAAATGTCAGCCCTTTCCATCCTTTGCTTTTGGGTTAGAAGATCTGGCAGTGTCTAAAGTGTAAATAATATTGGCGGCGGGGGGCAGGTGGGGGGGGGGGAATGTTGTGTAGAAAAATTCATGCTATATTCCCAAATCTTTATTTTATAGAACCAAAAGCATCTGCTGCCACTTTCTACCATGCCAAACACATCTGTGCTTTTGAAATACCAGCCTCTGTTCAATCCAGTGCAGGCTGGTCTCACCACACATTCATCCACTGTTCTCCAGGGCATTAAGCCTGGATGTGAATCCCACCTAGTCACTAAAAAGACTCTTGCATATCTGAGTGCTCTTGAATCATCTCCTGACCTCAACAGCTGGGCAGGGAGTAAAAATTATGTTTTCTCAGTTTCTGAGGGAGTGAAATGTCTGATAATATCTCAGCATTGTATTCTGCCCAGGAACAGACAGTCAGCGGTGTGAAAATCAATAATGAAAAACTCCAGATCAGTTTTTTTTAAAGACAGATAAATGGCTTGAGTGACACACCTATGTCATTCCCTGTTTGGACTAATTGTCCTTCCAGGGACACTATCAGAGTGCTGCTGCTAGTGCGTCTCAGTGTAACCCTCACAACATCCAGTGTTGTGCAAATCACCAACCCTGCATTCTCCTGTCAGCACTGGGTCAGCTGAGAGCTGAAATGAAAGGTGGAAATATCTACTTTCATATCTTCCCTCTGATCCTAATTTTATTTTAGACATTGGGTAAGTCATCATTTCCTCAGGTTCTCAATGAGTTTGAGATGCTGACTTTCTGATGTAAGCTGTCAAGAGAATTTAGTTCTTCTTTGTGAAGCGCCTTGAACATGAAAGCATGACAGCAAAGAAGCCCTACACACCACTCTTATTTATCCCCTGATTGTAATACACACGTTTCACAGGGTGAAGCAAAACATTTTACTATTGCTAGTAAGTGACATCTTACAGACATGTCAGGCTTTGTGTTGTTCCACCTTTGATCTCATTCTCACTTTGCTTGCTTTGTACTTTAGCTATGAATATTTAGAAAAAAAATCATCAAAACCCATGTGCAATCTCTTGGTCAACTCTAAGCCATTTCCTGTCAACTCTGTTCCAGTGTGTTGTGCCTCTGTGAGCCTTGCTAACAAAAACCAGCCCAATTACCATGTCACTCTCCTAGTTCTGTCTGAACAGATCACAATTTACGGAGCACTCCACAGGCTGAAAGAGCCCATTGTTCACTGCTGAGTTAATGCTAGAAGCAAGGATCAGTGATGCACTTGGTTTCTGTTCTGAGGGAGAGGGGCAGAGCTGGCATTGCCCCTGGAGGAGCCTTCCTGTACATAGGGACAATTTGGAAGGGGACAGTCACCTCAGTGTGCCACGTGTGAGCATGGGGTATCCCAAGGGCCTCCCTGGGGCACCCGGAGAGGCAGGTCTGCCAGCAGGGACACGCTGTCCCTGATCTCTGATAGCCACAAACCCCAAACAGCAGCAGGCACGAGTGCTCGGGAAACAGACTTGAGCCCTCAGCGACTTGTCAGCCAAGTGATGCTCCAGCCCTCACCACTGCTCTGATCAGGTCTCTGCTGACTGCACCTGAGCTCTGAGGTTCTGCAAACAGGTGCAGTGTTTGGGAGTTGGGGGCATTTCAGCTCATTCTGAACACAGAGCAGGTCTTCCATGTGACAAGTCTTTGGGTGAGAGGGAAAATCAGTGGCTCCATTCTTGATTGACAGGGAGAAAATTAAGGGTTCAGGCTTATTAAGCAATCTCTAACAGTGATTTATGGGGTCCTGTACATTTTAATCTAACAAAAAAATTTAAATCATCTAATTAGCTAAGTGTGTAATCCTGTATATTAATTGTCTATTAGCCACTTCTTAATTAAAATGGAATGCTTATCAAATAACATGTGATGGCCACGTAGCACCAATTTAAGTCATTATCAGACCAGCTCCTATTTTAATAAGGATCTGTTCAACTGGAGTCTAATAATTTCATTTTCTTTTAAAAGCTCTACTGAAGAGGAAGCAATCACCTTAAAAAAATAATATTCCATTAGGACTTTCTAGACCCTTTACTATAAACAACACTACATGAAGAATCACAAAACCCATGTAAAATATCCAAGGAACTATCAAGGAACCTGGAAACCCAGATCTTATGTTTAAATTTGTCCAGGAGTTCCTTGTTCATGCACACAGACCTTTCAGCATTTTTGCTTGACTTCCTCTTTGTTGGGATGCATCACTCCTGAGCTTGAGGAGGTTAACCTTGATTATTAACCAGCTTTTCTGGGCCCATCATCCTTCCTGGAAATTCTATTAAGCAGATTCCTGAAGAGATCAAAGTCTGCCTTCTCAAAGTCCGGATGAGATTTTTGTGATCTCCTCAATCCAAAAATTCTAACGCCATAATTTTGTGGTCACTGCAGCCAAGGCTGCCCTTGAGCTTCACATCCCTCATCAGATACTCTTGATGGTGAAAACAAGGTCCAACATTAGCACCCCTCCTCATTGGTTCCTCTATCACATTATCAGGGCATTCCAGGAATGTCCTGGATAGTTTATGCCCTGTTGTGCTGTTTCCCCACGAGATATGAGGGTGGTTGAAGTTCCCTATAAGGACCAAGGCTTGTGAACCTGAGATCACTCCTGTGTGTCTACAGAAGAACTAATCCACTTCTGCTATGGGTCAGGCAGCCCATAGCAGACCCCTACTATTGATGTCACTTGTCCCTGCTCTCCCTTTAATCCAAACTCATAAGCTCCAAGCTGGCACCTGATGCATCCCCAGGCGAAGCTCCATGCAGCAGGAGCTGGTCATTAACATGGAGGGTGACACTCCCTCCTCGTCTCCACACCCTGTCCTTCCTAAAGAGCCTGTGTCCCTTCATTCCAACTCTTCAGTCACAGAGCCCACCCATCACAGCCCTGCAGGAGTGCACAGTTCCCTAATTCCTCTGCTTTATTCCCCATTCTGCTTGCATTCAATAGAGACATTTAAGCTGGCCCGCCCATTAAGCTGATTTACTGTCTGGAGTGTCTGGAATCACACTGTCCTGCTCTTCAGGTGCTCTCTTGCTGACCTGTGACCCCTCTCCAGGCTCTGAGCATCTCTGGCTGGCACTGGCATCACACTGGTAGGCGTGGGATGGATTGAGGTTTCCCTCCCCTGGCAGCATTACTTTAAAGCCATCTTCACCAGCCCGGCAAGCCTGTGGGCAGAGACACTCTTCCCCTTCTCTGGGAGATGAGCCCCATCATCTCCCAGGAGATCAGGTTTCTCAAA